ATGAATAAAGAAGAAGAGGAGTTTATTAAAGAGCGGGAAAGGAACAGAGAACTAATGGAAGAAATCGCCAGAGAAATTGAAATGACGTGCTCAGGTAAGTTAAAAAATGAAAATAAATAACAATATTAAAAACCTTGGATGAGCAAGTCCTTCCGCGCGAATTGCACGCCCTTTCGAATAGTTTAACCCTTTGGGACAATTGGGAGTGTTCTATATGAAACAATGCAGAGTTTGCAGTTCTAAAGCCACTTACCGTTTTAGTTTAACCCATTTAGTTGTTAAGCAGCAAATCCAGGAAGTTATACATACACTATCTATAGGTAGCCATTTTGACTCCTGAGGGAAATAACCCACCCAGCCCAGAAAAGGTTGGCCACACCACCGACCGGGGTTTACGATCAATACTTTTTCCAGTGTAGTGGTGTGGGTTCTTTTAGGTCGCACAAGTACCAGATAAGTCCTGTCGGACCTACGGTTTTTATTCCTTATCCGAGAAGACTACAAAGTCTAACCGTTTTCAGATGTCGCTACGAAAGCAGCACTTTCTTCTCAGTTATTTAAAGAACCTGAGTGTTGGTCCGGCCGGGGTTTGAACTCGCAACCTTCCGCTCAGCAGACCGGCACTCTCCCGACTGAGCTAATCAGACGGCGGAGGTTAAAAAAACTTGGAACACTGCTACCTTATTATGGAATTCCTGACTAATCTTGAGAGAGATTTAGACAAACATTTTGGGCAAAAATCCACTGCCAATTTCACTATTCGCCACTACTCTTACCAGTTTGAATTCCTCCTATTCCGGAAAGCTAAATAGCCCCAATTCCGTGAGGTGAAAGGCTATAAGTTGAACTAGATATCTATAGAATAAAAGAGCAAACGAGAAAGCTCCTGAAAACGTTTATGCTAGTTTTCTTTTTCTAAAAACGCACAAAATTTTCCGACTTGGAATTTAATGGTACCGATTTAGATAAACGATTTCAAGTCCATGAGCCATTTTGTGAGAAGTGGGTAAAAATACAATATTTGTAGCAACCCTTTATGGAAAATTATTTCGTTGTTTTCGTTGTTATTAACTTAGTATGTGCTAAATTGTGATCGGTCTGTTACCAAACTTGAGACTTAAGGAACGTTATTGGAAAAATTGGGGGCATATATTAAACGGTTGTGGATGACGAGAAATTTTTCCCTTAAATAATGAAACTATATGCAAATTCGAAGCTTTTCTCTCAAGTTATTAACTCCTTTCAATTCGATCAAGCTTTTTCAATTCATGGTGACAATTGAAACTTAGGGTGCGTTTGATTGCATGAGAAACCCGGATTTAAGTTTAAAGTCCGGGTTTTAGATTTGGCAATCGAACGCGAAATGCAAAACGGATATTTCACCCTCACCCCCGAGAAATCCTTCCTCAAATCATGACTTTATGGATTTTCTTTATACCGTTCTAGTTGGAAAAACTGTTCTCGTGAACAGCGTTTTTTTTTCTGCTTGTTATGCGTGCGCATGCGAGATAACTGTTCTCTCAAAAACAGTTCAAATTTTTTCTTGTTATATCCCCGAAATACTGATTACCAAAGGTCAAATCTCACCTGTATAGCAACCACATAGACCAGCAACACCATACGATATCGAACAGGCCTTTAAATGCAATTTTTTTGTTTGGAGTATTGACACCAACGTTTTCTCAATGAATTTTAAACTTGCTGATTTGATCTGCTCACATTTTGTCCTGATGTATTGACGGTGTTACTACGTATGACGTGGTTGTGGTTCGTAAGGAAGTGCACATGAACGTTTCGTCCTATATGACCCCTACCGCAGTTGTTGACTGCAGGTAACATAGCATGGAGCTGAAACGAACAGAAATTTATCTTAAGTCATATGCTATTCCATGCCAAAAATAATACAGCCAAATGGAAAGGTAGAAACCTATTTTCATATTCAGTCAGTGGTATGTCACAGGTTGCATTTACGAAAAGAGTTTTGGCCTTGGTACGTGCAAAGTTGTGGCCTCCAATTTTTCCCACAGAAATTAATAGCAACGGAAATAATTTTAACCGCGAAAAAAGTATATTTAAAGCCAACGCTGCAATGTACGTATGTTAATACAGCAAAAAGGCAACATTTGTATTCTTGCTTTAACAAAAGGTAATAATAATAAGTGCTACAACTTAACTGGTCGAGCTCGAACTGTATCCCCAATAAAGCACACAGGCTTAGTCACCGGCAGTTAGGCTGGGGAAACAAAAAGTGTGACCGACATTTGTCTGGGACAGGAAGCACCGAGCTCAAAGGCTTAGAAACAGAAAAAACTTGGGATCATCTTTGATATAACGAGATCACCTTCACTAATATACCTAACAAAGTACGAGGGCCAATAGCCAGCTAGGCTGTTAGAAACGGTTAGGGCGCAGCATTTAAGGTAAACAGGTGTTTATTACGATTGTGGCTGGGGGTCTGTAGCATTGCCAATTTGACTGCATTAGTCACTGACTTATGTCGCCACTTAAGAGCGGTCCCGGTACAGCTGTTCTAAGCGTACATTGAGACTAAATATACAAGATAAGGAACCGGTGAAAAACGGCGCTAACCGTACAAATAAAATAAGAAGTGATAAAATTCAGAAAGATGGCAGAGCTGAGCTGCCAACAGAAATAAATGCGGTCAGACAGAGGCCAGAAAAGAAAAAACTGCCCAAAAATCCACGAAGGGAAAAAATGCGGGCGAAAAATCTGGATAGGAACCAAGCCTTAAGCTCAAAGACGTTTCTACGGGACTTTATAAGTTAATCGAAATAGGCCGCTCCTAAAATAATCAAAAAACTTAAGAAAACCAAACAAAGGTTGTTTCAGAAGCCGATATGACGTACACGCGATATTTATACGTAGCCTTTTATACTCCCGGCATGGCCAAGACAAGACAAGACAAGACAAGACAAGACAAGACAAGACAAGAACTTTATTTATACCAAACAGAAAAAAAGACATTTGCAAAAGACAATACTACTTATGTAAGGTACAAGCGTCCTTTAGCTAAAAAGCTAATCTAGCTAGGAGGCATTATAGATTAATTAAGAATATTTAAGAGGTTCTTTCATGGAGGTACAAGTAGAAAACAAGGTTAAAAAAATAAACAAACAAATAAACAAAGAAAATAAAAGAAAAAACGCATATGTAGAGAATTGCATCACTGAAAAATTGAGGAAGTGGAGAAAGTATTGGAAAAGAAAGAACTTAATATGAACTAGTGCCCCTGGCTAACACCCAGGTTCTGTGGTATTTCGTGCCGCCCAAATAGTTATTTCTCATTCTTAGCGGGATAATTCGTCATAAATAACATAACTTGCAACATGTAAAACTTTGCTCAATCATTTTTCACTGATTTTATCTGCCATTTTACCGTTGTTATAAGTGCCATCAATTGAATTAGTGTTCCTTGCAACTGATTTATTCATTCGTGGACTACCAGTCTATATAAAACTGAAATAGAACTGATTCAGTTTGATAATTGAGCATTAAATCTTTATTTCCAGACATAAACGAGTGTAACACAGGAGAACACAACTGTGACGTCACTAGTTGGTGCTATAACACTATTGGATCCTTTGGATGTGCTTGCAGGGAAGGTTATTCTAAAAATGGAGAAGATAAATGCACAGGTAACACTTTCAAATCCCTTAATTGAAACACTCAGATATTCATAACCACGTCTCTTTCAAATCAATTTCCTCTGTTCCAAGTGGTTTTTCACTAAATTCGCAGCATTGCTGGGGACAGCAAAGATACTAAGGAAAGTACCGTTTCTGTAAGAAGAAGGAAAGAGAGACCTGGGAGCCGTGGTGACTTGTTGTGACCCGCTCCCAAGGACTATAAACCAGGCCGAACATCCTGCCTGAGTCTACAAGGAATGGACATAATGATAATAGTAATAATAATAATAATAATAATAATAATAATAATAATAATAATAATAATAATAATAATAATAAAACTTATATAGCGCCGATATCAATATTGCTATTTTCATCAGCGCTTAAAAATAAAAATCTTCCAAAAAAAAAAAAATTACTAGGACTGCATAAAGATGAACCTACCAAAAAGAGTTAAAACAATTATGTCAACACTAAAATTATAAAATTACCTAGTCTACTTAAATGGTAAAAAAACTGCACAAAACTTACTAAAAACGAGATTAAAAAGTACATAAAATTACAAAAAAGCTTTCTGAAATAAAGATGTCTTGAGTGTCTTTTGAAAAGATGCTACTGAGCTACTGAGCTACTGCATCACAATCGGAGAGTAAATTGTATTTACATGCTTCTTAAGATTAATAAGTTCCTGGAGATAAAAAGGTGCTAAGCCAGTGATAGCCTTTTACGTTGACAGTAGTATCTTAAATTCAATTTTGAATTTAACCAGCACTATACAGCGACGGTCGTACTTGGCAGTATTTAGATTCCTGGAAAATTAACCTCTAGCGGCAGCATTTTGGACCCTCTGTAGCTTATTAAGCTGGTAGGCTGGCAGGCCATAGAGCAGGCTGTTACAATAGTCGACGCGACAGTGTTATACCTAAAAGTTCGGCACTATTATAACAGCTAGTTCCTTCTCGTCGACCACAACAGGGCTGAAGACGTGTTTGTTATTTTTAAGGTCGATGATCATCTCCTTGTATTTGGCAGTGTTGCATGCATTGCTCACGTGACCATTCCTCGACAGCACTAACTGCGCTTTGAATGTCACCCTGTGCGCCTCGCGGGACTAACTCATCAATAGTAGAGAGATCAAGCAGCGCGTTTAAAGCAAACGGCAAACTTGAGATTCAAGTTGAGAAATTTTTAAAATGAGAAATGAGCAGATAAAATTAAACAGCTTAAAACAATTCTTATGGATAAAATTGGCCTGAATCTACCGATTGTCGTGTGGTTATAATGAACAGAAAACGACTAGTGAAGGGGAAACTTGCTTACGTTTGCCGTTTACCGTAAACGCGATGCTTAATCTCTCTAGTAAGTATAATCAACGTACAAAATGTGCTTCTATATGTCCACACTAAAAACCCCTGAGGAATATCGATAGGCCTAGTTTGGTTCCTTGAGGCACACCAGCGGGCACAGGGCCTCATTCATAAAAACAGTCTCTAGACAGCTTTACGCGTTGTTGTCTATGCGTTAAGAAGTCGGCCACCCAGAGGGCAACAGCGCGAGGAAAAGATAGGCCGAAAACTTTGCGCACAAGTAGGGTGTGGTCGCTGAGATCGAAGGCCTTCCTGTGATTAAGCGGGATGACTCTCACAGCAGCCCCAGACCCGTCGGTGGCTCGCAACTAGGTACATGTAGCATGAACGTAAGGGCGTGTAGGGTAGAGGACGCTGGGATGCAACCATACTGATTTGGATCAATCACCTTCAGAACCGCAGGGCCGAAATGGCGAGCGACGACAAAGTCCTGTGCAAGTTTAGGTATCAAGGAGGTTAGGGAGATCGGACGAAGATATTTGTTGATGTCGATAACAGGTTTTAGCTTGGGGACAGGCACCATCTTCCAGGATTACGGACGTCTCTGCTCCGCAAAAGTGCTGTTTTGCACAGCTGTAATTGGGCAAGCAAAGATGCCTGCGTACGCCTTCACCATACTACCCCCATCTAGTCCTGCCGCCTTCATAGGGTTAAGCCTTTTTAGAGCGGATAAAACGGCGGGTTCGGATAGGGTCAGCGGTGACAAATCCTTACTGTGTGACGGGAGGAATTCAAGCCTTTGGAAGGACTCTATAGGTTGTAGGAATCCTGAGTTGATTATTAAATTCTTGAATAGCACCAAATAATGACTGTTTAGGCTTATGCTGCGACTTCCCTTCCCCTGATGAAATAGAATTCTGCACGATATAAATCTCGCTGAGATCTCGATGATGAGAACTACGAGTAAAGAGGTTCACAATTCGCTTGTCTTTACTGGCGTCAATCATCTGATCATCAAACACGATCAGATTCTGTTTGTTCACATCAAAATAGGAATCCCGCTCCAAAGCCGTAGGAATTACCTTGATAAATTCAATGTGCGGCATGGCGACTAGCATTTCTGTAGACGCAGGCTGCCATTGTGAATAACACCAAACGATCCTCTCTGGGGGAAGGTAAATTGCCTCTTAAGCTTGATGCAATAGAGATACAACCCAGGTCGCTTTTCCGGACTTGGTCATTCCAGCAGTCATGGAGACGAAAGGATACTCAAAGCGAAACCGCTGACATTTCTGTGAAGACATCGGAACTGTTTGAAATGGGGTGAGACCAGCATTGCGGTGTTTAAACATCGCGTGCCTTTACATGCTATCTTTTCTACTAAACGATTTTTCGCAAACGGAACAAAACCAACTCATGTCAACTCCTCAGGAGCAGAATGTAGACTGAGAAAAAGGTAGAATGTTGCGCGTTTATATAGGTTTGGCAAGCCATGATATCACATTTCTATTGCTTTCCTCCTCCACCAACACCACCACCACCACATTTCTATTGTTAAGTTATTAACTGTTTTTTTGTTGTTGTTGCTTTTATAATAATATGTCAAGGTTCTCTCTTGGGTTTTTTACTGTAGAGCTGAGCCAATTTGTATGCAAATGTCGGGTTGTTAACTCGCATAATTAACGGCGCGTGACAATGACAAGACCATAAGCTCACCAAGCGCTTAGAGTTAGTCCTCTCCTCGAGATAGAATACCTGAATTTTGGGCTTGAGTTTTGTTTAAATCCTATGTTTAGTCATGATAATTAAAAGAAATGATTAAAGATTTTTCAGTTACACTCGGTAACAATAGCTTGTTCAACAACTGAGCTCTTTCATTTTGAACACATAATAGTTTCTACATGAGCCAATTATCAGGGTTAAAAGAGACCGGGCAATTCTAGGTAAGCCTATTGTTTTTATTGTATAAGAGAGACACTCATTAGATATGGAGGAAGACACTTATCAGTATGAAGGAACCCACTTTTTTCCTAGGTTAAAACAATGGGTGACGTAAAGTACTCGACCCTTATGCATATCAATGATTTACCTCAACCTTAATAGATACTTACTCGACACCAACGGGGTTTAATTTCATTTCTCTATCACTACTGTGTTAGTAATGACAAGGGAAAAGAAAGTAAGGTTTGAGGGTATAACTCTTTTGCATGGGCGGACAATGGGAGAAAGCGATGAAGAAGGTAAAAATATTTGGGGATTATTGAGGCGGATGTAATAAACAAAAAGGAGATGAAAAAGAAAGTAAAAAAGAAGGCTGAAACTAATGTTGAAATCAAGATTGAATTGAAAGAATAAGGTTATAGCCATTAACACCTTCTCAGTGTCAGTGCTGATCAGGTATGGAGCAGCTAAGATGGGCAAAGGCAGAACTGAAAACATTGGATTCAATGACTAGAAAGGTGTTGACAATGAATGATGCTTTCCATTCAAGAAGAGATGTTAATAGCTTGTATGTATCAAGGGAGGATGAAGGTTGGGAACTAATAAGCTGTGAGGGGTGTGTGAGAGGTGATTAAAACAGTTTTGGGCGGTATGTGAGGAATTCTTTGGGCGTTTTACTGCAAGGGGTAAGGGCAGTAAGGTATATTGAAAGTGAGGAAACTGTCAGTTAAGCTGATTGAAGATATCTTGGAACAATGAGCTGAAACTCGACAGCTGGAAGGAAAAAAAGCTGCATGGTCAATTTTGTGAGGAATACCCGGAATAACACATGTAAGAAAACTTGGCCGGAGCTGGTTACGAAAAGCAGACTCGAAGATCCAAACAGAAGCAGTTATTTGTGCAGGTCAGGAACAGGCCCAGAGGACCAACTATCTAACTGATACTATGTTGACATTACCGCGCGAATCCCGCTTATGTAGGTAATGTGACGAGAAGGTGAGAGTGTAAACCATGTTGTCTGTACGTGTAACTTTAAAGTTAGCCCAAAGGGAATATAAAAACAGACATGAAATATTGCAAAAGTAGTTCGTTAGAAGTTATGCGAGAAATATCATCTGGAAGTGGTACGAACACATGCCTGACAAAGTGAGTAAAAAAGATAAAGTTAAACTACTGTGGGATAATGAACATCCAATGTGATCATGTCATCAATGCTACAATAGACATGATCATGTGGCTGTAAACAAACAGGAGAGAGAGTGCGCCACTTTCGATATTGCTGTAGCAGGGGATAAGAGAATTGTTGAAAAGGTTACAAAATATCAGGAGCTTAAAGGGACATTACAAGGAGGTGGAACACGAGAACTGTGTAGGTGATACAGATTGTTGTAAGATCATTCGCAAGTGTGACGAAGAACTTGGAGAAGTGGCTGGAAAGTTGGACACAAGAATTAGTATTTCATTGCCCCCAAAAAACTACTCTTCTAGGAACAGAAAGGATTTTAAGAAAAGCATTAGTCAGTTCTAGAGTAAGGAGTCGAAATCTAAGGGTCCTTTTTCATGGGTCATGACTCGCTCCCTTAGCAAGTACAACGGTATGAGATCAGCCAGTGCACAAAAAAAGAAATAATAATGATGATGATGATAATAATGATAATTATTATTATTTAATTAATAATTATTTATTATTATTATTATTATTATTATATTAATAGTAATTTGAATGATTATTATAATACTTATATAGTTCAAGGGAAATAGGACTGAGTGGAGTCAGGAGACGACATAGCTGGAGTCCGGTTTGTTTAATCATGAGTAACAATTAATTAATCATAATTAAACAAAATTTGTGATAATTTCAGATTTTATGAACTTTAAAACACAAGATCTAGCGAGAGTTTTTTGCGGCTAGAAGGAAAAAAAATAAGAACAACAACATCGAAGAGCGCGCTCGGCATAGCGTTATTGTTGTGCCATTACTTAGGTATATATGACGGGCACAGTCCAATTACACTGTTACAGTCAGTACTCAGTCAGGACTCAGATTGGAATCAATTCCGTCTGCAATCATCGAATTGATTAGAGAAGACTGTTTCTCGGTATTCCTTTCGTGGGCGAAAACAACTATATTTATATCAGAAAAAAAAGGCAAACTGAATAGTAGCACCTCCTGTTTTGCAGACGTAAACGAGTGTGCAACAGGAAAACGCAAATGTAACGGCAGCTCCATATGCCACAACACCAAAGGATACTTCCTATGTATCTGCCTACCAAAGTATCTCGGCGTTAATTGCACAGGTAAATATATTGTACATTGAGATTGCAGATTCCTCTGATAAAAAAGGCCGCTGTGTGATCGGGGTCTGTCATATGATGAAATCATGGTCATTATCGTTATAAATTATTGATATCGCGGTTATTTCCCCTTTTTCGTGTATAGCTGTTTAAAAACAAACAAACAAACGAGAAAGGTTTGTGGAATTCCTTGGGTTTCAATTTGTTAAAAGCACATGACGTTTTGGCATGATCTTTACGGTCAAGTAATACAGGCAACATTTTCGCTTAACTTGTTGCGCAGCATTGTTACATTCCAAGTTGAAAAACGTTGTTGCCGGCCGCCGAGGTCGAGTTTAAGAGTACAAATTAACAGTACAGCCTTTAAAATTAAACTGCCTGGTATTCTGGGCCATGGCTGTTTGTACGTTTGATTTTGTGTTTAAATTAGTATTATTTCAGTAGCTTTTAATGCTACTCTCATTTCGGTGTCTGAACACCGACATGATAGGTCTTTAAGGGTGGTTGTCAGAGAAAACCGGGCAGAATGTTAACGGAAGGGGGTCAACAGAATAAGTTCATACTAACATCATAGATAGGTCTGGTGGAGTATTGGACAAATGTACCAAATATAGGTTCTTCACTGCCCTTGTATTAGAGATACGAGCATCACTTTATTCGATCCCCTCGGACGCCATTTTTATAAGCAAATTTTCACCATTTTCTGAAACGTACAGAACCCGCAAAATTTAACGAGCGAAGTTTATTTTTTGCATGCGATACAACACATCACAGAACTACTTTCTAAAACTATAAGATTTGTTAAGTAACCAGGGGCAAGACTAAAATTTTCTTATTTCATCTGACCTAAACTCAGTGTCTGCAAACGAGCAAAAAATCGGGCATTTTTGAATTGATTTACAGCGCTTAACTAAAACGACAGAACAACTCTGACAGCCAAATTGCGGTCTACTATCATCCATGTAACCAAAACACTAATAATAATTTTGGGCCATTGAAACAGGAAGAAATTAGAAAACTCACATTTGTTATGGTTTCCAAGCTTTTTCTTGCAAACAGGCCGATCCCTTCGTGTTTGTTTCAAGGTATTTTAGGTATTTATTTATTTGCCACACGATTACAATAATTACAAAAAGATGCCAAAAAAAAAAAAATGTAGGAAGAGATGGCGAGGAGGCCTAAAAGAAACTATAGAACTTATGTTAATTAGGCCTCCTCAACTACAATTTTTCGAAGATGGCATAAAAATTACGGCGACGGATACAATATAATATGAGGTGAAAAATTAAACTAATCAATATTACGGAAGTTTACAAATGTTGAATATTAAAAGGCTTTTTCCCAAGATTTTTGTTGGAGTATACTAATAATTATTAGTATATGGATACCAAGATTTTAAAAGATTGGATCAGTATGTGCATCGAAAGTTGTTTTAGCTATAGTTCTGATCACTCGTTTCTGTAAAATCTCAAGACGAATAAGATTAGTTCTGTAAGTAGAGGCCCAAACTAAGTTGCAATAAAAAAGGTATGGATAGACTAGAGAAAAATATAGTGTTCGTAAGGTTTTCGTGGATAAATAGAAACTGGATTTACGAATAATTCCTGTGCATTTAGAAACTTTATTGCGACATGTGAGATTTCAGATTTCCAATTTAAATTTTCATCTATGATTACTCCCAAGAAAACTGTTTCTCTTACTTGATCAATTTTTTGATCAAGTCCTCTTCGTGAATTTTCTTTCATATTTCGCGGTAAAGTATGTTCAGCAGCTGGAGGAAATATAAAAAAGCTCGAAATACTGCTTAGGTTACATTTTGAAAGGGCAAAAAGTGCTGAACGATAGGATGAAACTAGAAAATAACAAAGCGACGCCATCTTGAAAATTCAGCACTCCGGAGGGACTGGCACTAGTAGCTGCCTTGTCCACAAGATGATGAATTACCAAACAGGCCACTTGCACGAAGAGGTCAGGTGACCAATGCTTCCTTTAAACAATGAGTTGGAATTTTGCTGATGCCAAAAACTGACAGAGCACATAAAAATTATCTTACAGCCGAAATTTTAGAGGAAACGCATTTAAGGGCGATATTTTATGGTACTTTGATTTTTCAACAAAGTAGTATAGTAGTATGCCCTCTAACCATGTTAGAGGGCATACTCTTGCCCTCCAACATGGCGGCCGAAACTACTTTTTGCTTATGTCTTGTTAAACGTTTGATAGTTACGCTCAGATGTGCTGTAAACGTTACCACATCATCTTTTCAACATTTTCCTTGAAGTTTAAGTGCAAAATTTGTGTCCAGAAAGAGGTAATTCATAATATTAAAAATCACTTTTCGGTCACGTGACTAGCTACGAACTTCCTGATTTTAAGAAAATGGTGCGGGTTTGAAAAACCAAATTATTATTACTTTGTTTAAGATATGACCCTCTAATCGTTTGTCGAAGGCAAAATCATATAATTTTCATTTTCATAAAAACGATGTCACATGACCTCTTAGTGCAAATGGCCTATGTAAATGAACCGGCTTATCAGCGACCTATTACAGTCCTATTTCTTCTTCAATTACTACTTTTAGTTAAATCTGGCTTGTTTTGTGTCGTTTTTTTATGGCGGAGTGATGGGGTGTGGTGAACAGGTGACCAATTGCCATTACTTTATTCAGTCTTCATTTGCTCTTCATTCACTTCATTTTGAGTTATCCCATATAAGTCTTAGCATTTCTTTGGACTCTTTTTTGTATCATCTATTTTTGCGTCAGTCTTCAATCACCGTCCGTGTCCAAAGGTCCACTCATTTCATCTCATGTTCATGATTTCCTGTAACACTTTTCATAGTCTGGAAGGCTTCGCCCGAAACACTACTAGCAGAGCTTAGGGGAAGTGATTGACTAGTCATAAGCTTCATGGGTGGGGAGGCTGAGTAGTTGCTCCTTGGACTTGGCTGTCTAGAGACTCAGTACAGGCACCTTGTAACAGTTAAGAGTCAGGTCCGTAATCTGACTGACTGTCAGTCACTAAAAATTTATCGATGTACGTTTGAGCAACTTGTTGTTCTGAATGAGTTTTGATTTCTCTAAGCTTAAGCAATTTTTATTCATAACTTTTCAAAAGAGATTGAGCGGTTTTCTTTGTAATAAAAGTGAACTTATCCAGTAATTTGCAGTGACACCTAAATCTGTGGAAAATTGTAAATACATATACCGTTTTTATTCGAATAAGCGCCCAACCTCGAATTAGCGCCCGCCTCGAATAAGCGCCCATCTCGAAGGCAGAAAAATTTAATAAGCGCCCAGCCTCGAATAAGCGCCCACCCCCACCCTACCTCCCATTCCATTTACATCTGTAACTCAATGCGATATTCTAATTCCATGGTCTAATTCCTGTGAATTTCATAGAATTCCATGGAGATCAATGGAATTGGATGCAGTAGTTTCCGCGGAATTTCGTGGAACTTTTCCATTGAATTCCATTGAAATTGATGTCCTTATCCCCCATGGAATGCCATGGAAATATTTCCACGGAAATCGATGGAATTCCATGGAAGTATTTCTTACGGTGTGTACCGAGTTATTTAAAGGGGCTATGTCAGGCTATTTTCTACCTTTTTAAAAAGATAAAGCGTGTTTTCTTATCAATTGAATCCCAAGAATAAGACTATATTTAGGCATTAAAACCGTTTCCTGTCGTCTGTTAATATGGAAGGTAAGGATGATTGAAACTTGAAAAAATGGCCAGCCTTTTCAATGCAAAAAATTACCAAAAAATAATTACGGATAGTGCTGTCTGATAAATTTTGTTTGGGACCTTCTCCATAACTCTAAAGGAGCATTTTGTATAAGTGTATAGACCCTAAGTAATGACTTTAGCACGTAATATTCCTAAAAACAGCAATATCCTCGAGACAAACCCCCTTCAACACCAGGATAAATTGACTACTATATGATTAAAACGCCCGATCACTGTTGTGGGAATTAAGTCAAATCTCTTTCTTTTTTCCACGAGCTTGACGTGGCGAGTGTTTCACCTTTTCCAAACGAAACGTGTTATTATTCTCTTGTCTTAAATTGTCAGTGGCGTGTCCAAATATGGCAATCCTGACAGGGACCTCAGGCATCATCACAAGTCCTTATTACCCGGGAAATTATGGTAATAACCACAATTGCAACTGGAAAATCATGGCAAGTACAGGAAATCGCGTCAAGTTGGTCATTCAAGACATGGACATAGAAGGTGGGACTAACTGTCCCTACGACTATATAGAAATTCAAAATGCTGTCATATATGGTAGTGGTGTGCTTCCTGAGCGTTTATGTGGTTCACTCAACAGCAGTTCGACTTTTTCTTCTTACAACGAAACCTTGATTGTACGTTTTGTTACTGATGATTTTGTAACAGCCCGTGGACTTAAAGCAAGATTCACTGTTATTGCTGGTAAGTAGGAAGAATTATGTTTTGCAGTGCTTTGCGCTTTATCCAGTATAGTATGTTGCGCGGTATCTCGCAACAATCGCTTGTAAACACTAGAAATATTTGTTTGAGCATAGACGATTTCTGAATTTTGTCCTCAAAGATAGTCCTTTACATTTCTGTTAGTATAGTATGTTGCGAGGTATCTCGCAACAATCGCTTGTAAACACTAGAAATATTTGTTTGAGCATAGACGATTTCTGAATTTTGTCCTCAAAGATAGTCCTTTACATTTCTGTTAAAAGGTTTCCACTTTGCTCAATTAAGCATATTTAAAATCAGGGGCATAGCCAGCCATTTTTTCCATTTAAGCCCGATTTGAAGAAGTCCTGAGAAAGCGAGGAAGGAAAGATTCGTTCATTCATTCATTTAGTCGCTCGTTCGTTCGTCCTCCCTCCCTCCCTCCGTCCCTCCATCCATCCATCCATCCATCCATCCATCCATCCATCCATCCATCTATCCATCCATCCATCCATTCATTCAGAGAGTTGTAAAACTTTAGAACTTGAATGTAAACGGTGCTGGTATTGGTTCTGCATGGCGATAAAAAA